ACTAACCACAGGTGCTATAATAGTGTTTCCCGCTGACCACAAAGCCTGAAACATTGTCTACTCCTACTGATTCTGGGGCATGTTCTACTCCCACTGGCCACAGTCTGGTCTCCTAAAGTTTGAAGGTCAGTAAACTGGCCCTTTGTTTAGAGACCCCAGCTCTAAGGCATTCAGATATTGCTTGGATATTGCTTGGACTAACAATAGATTGTGTTATTTCTTTTAAATATTATCAGCCACTTATAATCTGTGCAAGTAGAAACACATCCATCAGTTCTGAAACAGTCTAAAGAGATGGCCAAAGCTAGCTTCTGTGGAAGTCTATTGGACATGTGTCAGGAATGCGGGTGTCACTAGAAGTGTGTGGACTGACACAGGGAAACGTAGGCTTCAGATATAGTAAATAATATAATTTATTAAGACTAACAATACAAACACAGTGCAAAACTAAACATAACACAGTGCAAACAAACTGAACCAAACCTCCAACAGATAACAAACATACAATACAAGAGTAGTCAGGAAGGCCGGGTCAGTAGCAAACGGGCAAACGGAGTACCATGAGCAGGCGGGAGAGTGGTCAGGACTAGCCGAGGTCAGTACAGGCAGAGTTCAGGCAGCGTCAGGACAGCAGAAACAGGATCAGGAAACCAGGGCCAAGCAAACAGTACAACAAGGTATTGTATAAGACTGCAGGTCTGGCCATCCCTTAAATACACCACCTGCAATCAGCCCCAGGTGATGGCTAATTGCCGAAGTGAGCCTCTGGTTGTTGAGAGCACCCGCTGGCCAGCCCTGGTACTGCAGCCCACAAGGCAGGTGAGTCCCACCACTATTGGCAAGTCCATTCCTGACAACATGGTTACAGTCATACTATAAAGAAGTCCTTATGCATACAACGGTTAAATATCCAGGAGTTCCCCCCTGTACTTTGTAATGATTTTAAAGTGAATAGCTCTCCACCAAGTTTACCGCATGGACTATTTATGTAATAATACAAGATGATCATAGAAGTAAAAAAAGTAATAGTTGGCAGTTTTATTCCTTTATATGACCAGGCCCAGACATATCTGTTTCCACTCTATCACCTTCATTAGTAAATCATTCAGTACTGATCATCCTCTCATATACCAACAGATTGAAGCTTACAAAAATGTACTTGTAACTTTAAAGTGGATGGGGAAGTTCTGCTTTAAGGCCTTCTCCCCCGATCCTCATTAACAAAGGGCACCTTTTTTTTGAGGGGGGGGTACCTGCTTTTTACAGTTACCCATTCCCACTTCCGCCCAGGTCATCTAGACAATCCGAGTGGAAGGTCTCCTCCGAACATCCCTCTCCGCAGTCTTCTGGGTCATGTCCAGAGGTCCCAGAATACTTCGGGACCATTTACAAAGCGCAGTGCAGCTTGCGCATTTGCAATGAGCACCCGACTGTGAATCCACAAGCTGTCACAGTCGGGTGCCCTTAGTTAAGATGCCGCCGCCATGGACTAAAGAACAACTGGCTCGGGTGAGGACATAGCTGGATTCTGGCACAGGTGAGTGTGTGTTTAATAAAGGTCAGCAGCTATAGTTTTTATAGCTGTTGACTTTTAATTTCTAAAAATTAGACTGGAGCTCCTCTTTAGGAGAAACTGAACTGTGCAAGTTGTGTCCAAAATAAGGCAGGCAAAGGGCAAATGACTAGTCACCAGTATTGCTTGTGGTTTCTTTGCAGCTGATCTTTTGCCATTACTGACGTGTCATGCTTTGTTCTGCAATGTGTCTCTGTATGGAGGCAGCCAACTTGGTGGAAGCAGGGCTTTGCATCCTCATGTCAGTGCCTCCAGCAAGGAGCACATTGAACAGCACAGTAGTGTTTACTAAATCTCATTCTAGATTTGGTGGAGCTAGCAGTTGGAGGCAGCAGTGCCTTAGATGTCACAATGCAGATATAAAAATGTAGGTACAGGAGTGCCTAGGCACACACACAAAGTAGGAAGTACAATTATATTTTTTGAAGAATTTAAGAAAAAAAGGCTAATTGTTAGGGTACAGTTTAGGCATGATTGGTATTTCTAGATGTTCCCTAGAAAATAGCAACTCTTCACTTTTTAAGGTCAACTTAAGGTTTGACTGGCCTTCAGATCAGTGTTTTTCAAACTTTGCGCAGTCACAGCATCCTTTGTAAGTATCCCCAATCCCAAGGCACTCCAGTCTAAAGTGTGTGTGTGTGTGTGTAAAAAGTAATATTTTACTTATTAATGGGAAAACTGAGCCTGGAATGATGCACACAAATGCCTTGATAAAATTAACTTCACATCAGAAGCCCCCCCCCCCTCTAATTACTTCAACAGACCCCCCCCCCATCATATCAGAGCTCCCTTCACATCAGAGTTCCCCCTTCATATCAGAGGCCCCCATCACTCCAGGGTCCCCACCTATATACTAGAGCCCCCATCACACCAGATTACTCCCATGACAGAGTCTCCCATCACATCAGATCCCCCCATCATTGAAGAATCCTCCATCACATGGTTCTCTCATCACATAAAAATTCCCCATCACAGAGCCCCCAATCACACAGTCCCCCCATCACACAATCCCCTCATCACAGACCCCCACAATCACACAGTCCCCCCATCAGAGGCCCTCCTACAGACACTGATTCAGGGCAAACTGGGTCCTGTGCTGGTGGCACCCAGGGGTACCCTTGGCTTTCTCTGTGTTCAATACCTTCTGAGTCACTGACTGAAATACAGTGAGGAACAGAAGTATTTGAACACCCTGCGATTTTGCAAGTTCTCCCACTTAGAAATCATGGAGGGGTCTGAAATTCACATTGTAGGTGCATTCCCACTCTGAGAGACAGAATATAAAAATAAATTCAGGAAATCACATTGTATGATTTATAAAGAATTTATTTGTCATCATCAAGTGGAGAAAATATGGCGCAGCAGTGACATTACCAAGAACTGGACGTTCCTCCAAAATTGATGAAAAAGACAAGAAGAAAACTGGTTTGGGAGGCTGCCTAGAGGCCTACAGCAACATTAAAGGAGCTGCAGGAATATCTGTCAAGTACTGGCTGTGTGGTACATGTGTCAACAATCTCCCGTATTCTTCATATGTCTGGGCTATGGGGTAGAGTGGCAAGACGGAAGCCTTTTCTTACAAAGAAAAACATCCAAGCCCGGCTAAATTTAGCAATAAACACATCTGAAGTCTCCCAAAAGCATGTGGGAAAATGTGTTATGGTCTGATGAAACCAAGGTTGAACTTTTTGGCCATAATTCCAAAAGATATGTTTGGCGCAAAAACAACACTGCACATCACCAAAAGAACACCATACCCACAGTGAAGCATGGTGGTGGCAGCATCATGCTTTGGGGCTGTTTTTTCTTCAGCTGGAACTGGGGCCTTAGTCAAGAATTATGAACAGTTCCAAATACCAGTCAATATTGGCACAAAACCTTCAGGCTTCTGCTAGAAAGCTGAACATGAAGAAGAACTTCATCTTTCAGCATGACAACGACCCAAAGCATATATCCAAATCAACAAAGGAATGGCTTCACCAGAAGAAGATTAAAGTTTTAGAATGGCCCAGCCAGAGCCCAGACCTGAATCTGATCAAAAATCTGTAGGGTGATCTGAAGAGGGCTGTGCACAGGAGATGCCGTCGCAATCTGACAAATTTGGAGTGTTTTAGCAAGGAAGAGTGGGCAAATATTGCCAAGTCAAGATGTGCCATGCTGATAGACTCATCCCCAAAAAGACTGAGTGCTGGAATCAAAAGGTGATTCAACAAAGTATTAGTTTAAGGGTGTGCACACTTATGCAACCATATTATTTTATGATTACCCTGCTTCCTCTTCCCAGCAGTGACACAGCAGCTCAGCTCACCCTGCTTCCTCTTCCCAGCAGTGACACAGCAACTCAGCTCACCCTGCTTCCTTTTCCCAACAGTGACACACAGCTCAACTCACCCTGCTTCCTCTTCCCAGCAGTGACACAGCAGCTGAGCTCACCCTGCTTCCTTTTCCCAGCAGTGACACAGCAACTCAGCTCACCCTGCTTCCTCTTTCCACCAGTGACATAGCAGCTCAGCTCACCCTGCTTCCTCTTTCCACCAGTGACATAGCAGCTCAGCTCACCCTGCTACCTCTTTCCACCAGTGACACAGCAGCTCAGCTCACCCTGCTTCCTCTTTCCACCAGTGACATAGCAGCTTAGCTCACCCTGCTTCCTCTTTCTACCAGTGACACAGCAGCTCAGCGCACACTGCTACCTCTTTCCACCAGTGACACAGCAGCTCTGCTCACCCTGCTTCCTCTTCCCAGCAGTTACACAGCAGCTCAGCGCACCCTGCTACCTCTTCCCAGTAGTGATACAGCAGCTCAGCTCACCCTACTACCTCTTCCCAGTAGTGGCACAGCAGCTCAGCTCACCCTGCTTCCTATTCCCAGCAGTTACACAGCAGCTCGGCGCACCCTGCTACCTCTTCCAAGCAGTGACACAGCAGCTCAGCTCACCCTACTACCTCTTCCCAGCAGTGACACAGCAGCTCAGCTCACGCTGCTTCTTCTTCTCAACAGTGACACAGCAGTTATTATAGTAATACCTAAGAGAAGGAACTCTGGAAGGAAGGAGCAGGGTGGGCTGAGCTGTTGAAAGAATGACTTGAACATTTGCTGTGAACTTTGAGGATGTACCTACCTTTCCAGTACTCCCCCCCACTATGACACTATAACACTGGAGAGTCCTATGTAAGTTGAAATTTACACAGGTCTATGCACACTACCCCAGCCACATGTGACATCTGTCAGGCCTGATGACTGGTCACTCAGGCACATAGCACAGTACTGTGGGAAGACCACAAAACGCAACCCTAGTTCATCTGATAGGGAAGTTCTGGAGAGAAGAAAAAGTGAGGGATACACTCTATACCCGGATGAACATTCTAAGAAGTGTAACTGCAACAAAATGTATTAAATAAGAGTAGGAAAAGAAAATGCAACCCACCTAAACTTGATCGCGTATTGGATCTCTCTATGATTGCGTGTTTACTAGGATTATTTAATACTGAGCGTTTGGCAAGCGAGATGTCAGCAGTGACCCGTGTGATGGATATTCTGGAGAGAGAGAAAAAACGTAAGACAATGATTAAATTCAGCCTTGACACTGAAGTTCATAATACAACAATATCACAATAAGAGCTAATTAAAGGAACAGTCCACCCACACAGGAGGCTGCATGAAATGAACTTCAATTGCAGAATCAACAGGTATTTGTGGGACTTTGTAGAGGGAACTAAGCCGGCCATAGATTGATCGAACCTTGGCCGATTCAGCAAGGACCAGCTGAGTTTTGATTATGGGCTGGCTGATTGTACTAAAGTTAATTCATAGTTAGACTTCAATACAACCAGCCTGTCAGGGTTTTTCATGCAATCACTGCTGGCGGCTAAAGCCACCAGCAGTGATCATTGTGTTCTGCTGACGGGGAAGGCTTGCCGACGGCAGAACACAATAGCGCTTCGGGTGGGACTCCCCCATCAATACTGACTGTGTTGATAAGGGAATCAAGCAATTTTCTTTCCTTCTACCCGTTGTGGAAAAAAAGAAAATTGCATAATCTACAACCATGTCTGTGAAGTCTGAATGAGATGTTTAAATCTGGCTACTGACAGCAGAGAAAGGTAAGCAACTTCATCATTTAGGTGAAAAAAGAAGGATACATCAGTACAAAACTGACTGTCACTTACCTCCCTTCAAATCTGTGTTTTAAAAAGTCAAACAAAGCTTTTTGCATCATATCTGTCACCTGCATGGAAACAAAACCAAAGACATGAGACACAGGCAGTGGTGTATTAATTCCGTGTGCTGCCCTAGGTAACACAAAATCGCACCCCCCTCAGCCAAGATTGGACTGTGGGGGAAAAAAAGAGCACCCAAAGAAATGTCACACAAACAAGCAATTTGTGTGACATTTAAAGAGTAACTCCACTTTTGTTGAGAAAAAACATTCCCTCCTGGGTGATCTATGTACATTGCAGGGATTTTAACAAATTTTGTTGCAGATTCCCACCTTTTGTTATTCTAAAGAAATAGCTGTTTGTCTTTCTCCATAGAGAAAGATAATTATAATTATCAATCAGCTGCTGCACTTGCAGGGTTTGAATGAAGTAGCAGGGTCTGCATCCCTTTAGATATGATATCCCTTTGGGTGTATCTCCTCAAAAATGACATTTTTGTTGCAGGGGATTCCCAAAATCTGACTTGTATCTTAATGCAGACTTCTGGGAAAATCAGTGAGCCAATCACACAAGCAGGAAATTACATTTCTGGGGTTATTCTGGACACCGTCTGTGTAGAGAAGGCCTCCAGGCTGCCATATTATATTGAATTTTACAGAAAATGACACCACAGCAAATTGAAAACAAAAGACAATTTTTAATAAAATTCAATTACAATATGACTTGTGTAGCAATTGTATAGTTCTGTTCAAAATAATAGCAGCCAGACATCACTAACCCGATCAATCACTGTTTTTGGTAGAAATTATATTTCTACATGGCAAATAATTTACTAGCAGGTGTAGTAGAGTAATAGAAATCCAACAGACTCAACAGTCATGACATGCATGCTGCTGATTCTGTGTAATTGAAACACTAATTGAAAGGGGCATGTTCAAAATAATAGCTGTGTGGAGTTCTATTAGTGAGGTCATTCATTCTTTGAAAAACAGGTGGCAATTATTGCCCTTATTTAAGGAAGGAAGGCAGCAAATGTTGTACATGCTGGTTACAGTGCATTTCTCTCTGAAATTCTGAGGAAAATGGGTCGTTCCAGACATTGTTCAGAAGAACAGCGTACCTTGATTAAAAAGTTGATTGGAGAGGGGAAAACATATAAAGAAGTGCAGAAAATGATAGGCTGCTCAGCTAAAATGATCGCAAATGCTTTAAAATGGCAACCAAAACCTGAAAGACGTGGAAGAAAGCTAAAAACTACCATTCGAATGGATAGAAGAATAGCCAAAATGGCAAGGACTCAGCCAACAATCAGCTCCAGGAAGATCAAAGAAGGTGTAAAGTTCCCTGTGAGTACTGTTACAATTAGAAGACGCCTATGTGAAGCCAAGCTATCTGCAGGAAGCCCCCGCAAAGTCCCACTGTTGAAAAAAAGACATGTGCTGAAGATGTTACAATTTGCCAAAGAGCACATTGACTGGCCTAAAGAGAAATGACGCAAACTTTTGTGGACTGATGAAAGTAAGATTGTTCTTTTTGGGTCTAGTGGCCGGAGACAGTTTGTCAGACGACCCCCAAACACTGAATTCAAGCCACAGTACACTGTGAAGACAGTGAAGCATGGTGGTGCAAGCATCATGATATGGGGATGTTTCTCATACTACGGTGTTGGGCCTATTTATCGCATACCAGGGATCATGGATCAGTTTGAATACATCAGAATACTTGAAGAGGTCATGCTGCCTTATGCTGAAGAGGAAATGCCCTTGAAATGGGTGTTCCAACAAGACAACGACCCCAAACACACCAGTAAACGTGCAACATCTTGGTTCCAGACCAACAAAATTGACGTTATGGAGTGGCCAGCCCAATCCCCGGATCTTAATCCAATAGAAAACTTGTGGGGTGACATCAAAAATGCAGTTTCTGAGGCAAAACCAAGAAATAGAGAAGAACTGTGGAATGTAGTCCAATCATCCTGGGCTGGAATACCTGGTGCCAGAAGTTGGTTGACTCCATGCAACACAGATGTACAGCAGTTCTCAGAAACAGTGCGACTACAACTAAATATTCATTAAGTGATTCAAAGGAAAGCAAAATCTTCAAACATTTTTCAGTTTATATAGTGAATGTTTGAGTTTGTAAAGAAGAATACAAACACTGCTATTTTTTTGAACAGTCTAATATTCACTTTTCTTCAATTTGTTTAGAGGAACAACACAAATTTGATATATTTTTCTTCATGTATTGATTTGGAATAGAATGTGTCGTGTTCCCAATGCATTTGTGTGTATGGAAATAAAAGCTATTAGAAGGATTTTGAGCTTTATTCACTTTTTTCAACACACTGCTATTATTTTGAACACAACTGTATATTCTATATTATTTTTTTTTCTTTATTTGCTATTTTTTTTCCCCATGAAAGTGGAGTTAACCTTTAACTGAATTCAGATCTCTGGCACTGCATATCTAAGGCACTATGCTGCACCAAATATAACATTTCCTATGCCAATAGTCAGATTTGACAAAAATGAACAGCTCCTGTGGGTTTGATTTCAGTAACATGAAGTTAACCTCATCAATATATATAACTTTAACAAACTGAAGGTTCTTTATGTTTAATGGTGTGCACCTTACCTCATATCCTTTTAATGAAGGCCCCACTAGAACTACAGGTCTCATAGAAGGCACTACATCGTAAGGAGGAATGTGCTCTGTCTGTGCAAAAATGGGAACATGGTCAAACAGGTCATGTGAATGTTATTGTATCCTTATGGACTATAGCTATGGGATATTCCCAGAAGCGTGGCAATATTTGGTTAGCAGCTTGAAATAGGCAAAGCAAAGAGGTTTATGCTCCATCACAAAAGATCAATAGCACATATCTAACATTTTTCTGCATAATTCAATTCTCAACTAAAATGTAGATTTGTTTAATAGTGGATCAAAGCACTGAAATATCCCCCCACACCCAATGCCTAAAAAAGAATACACTATACAGCCAAAAGTTTGTAGACCCCGACCATCACACCTAGATGAGCTTGCTGGTCAACACATTTCAAAACTATGAGCAATAATAATATAGAGCTGGCCTGCTCCTGTGGGAAGGTTTTCCACAATATTTTGTAGGTTTTCCACAATATTTTATACCCGTTCAGCCATAAAAGCATTTTATGAGGTCAGGCATGGATGTTGGACAAGAAGACCTGGCTCACAATTGGGTGCACAAACTGTTGGTGCTATATATAAGTCCTGTATATTAATTCCAATCATATTCAATCGGGTTGAAGTCAGGGAGCTGGCATTGAGCACATGGTAAAAGTGCACAATTTTCCTTTTGTTTCAGAAGGCATCCACAAGAAAAAAAGCACAAGCTTAGTTTACACCTCTGTTCCATACCAAATCACTCAAAATATCATCAGTCTTTAGCCTCTAACGATGGAGATAACTCCTGAGCGTATTGACTGTTTATGTACCCAGTTTTTTCTGATAAATTCAAGACTTTTTAATGATTGGAAAATGTCAAGCTTTTTCTTTTTTGGTGCTTTTCACCCACCGTTACAGCAGTCTGTAACTGTCTAAAATGTCTGTATGCTGTAGCATTAAAAGTACCATTCCCTGGAATCACCTAAACTCAATAATACATAGGGATGTTCACATACTTTGGCCATATAGTGAGAAGGTGTGACGGTCAAGTGTCCACGAATTGTTGGCAATAGTGTATAAAAACAGCATGAATTTACCTGACTACAAAGACCTTTGTAAAGATTATTTCAGATTGCTCACTGCATAGATACATAAGATAAATATTTGATTCTATTTAGGGCAACTCCTGGAATCAGGACTGAATAGAATGGGGACAGATCAGTAGAGTTTATCTCTCCTTTCCTGATCTTCTGATCCATTAATTGGGACCAGTGGTCTGCGCACCACGTTTTCATCAGTTGTTGGTTTCCCCTGACTGACACATTTGGTCTCCAAACTTTCTAAACAAAGGGCAAGTTTATTGTTCTTCAGACTTTGAGGGGGCCGGACTGTAGCCATTATGAGTAGAAAAGGCAATCAATGCCCATCATTGATATTAGGAAAAGGAGTAGTGCCCAATCATTGGTGGCAGTAGGAGGAATAGTGCCCCATCAATGGTGTCAGTGGGAGGAATAGTGCCTCATGAATGGTGTCAGTGGGAGGAATAGTGTCACAGCATTGGTATCAGTGGGTGGAATGCTTCGTCCTTGGTGTCAGTGAAAGGAACAGTGCAGTGGAGGAATAGTGCCCCATTGTGGGTGTCAGTGAGAGAAATAGTGCCGCAGTTTAGAGACCACTTCATTAGAGTCTCAAATTGGGATATTCAATTTAGGCTACCTTCAGATCTTTGTGTGTCACTTTCCCAAAATACAGAGAAAGATGTGGCCCTTTAGCAGACACGTGGCTGTGCCAATAAGTCTAGGTTCACATCTATGCATGTTGGGAATGCATGCAAAATCACATGCTTTCCAAAGACGCAGAGAAACACACTGAACTATAGTAAACATGCAGGTGTACCATTAATTGCTAATGGCATCCCCATGCATCTGCAAGTGCGTTCATTTTCATGAGCACACCACCACATGTGCCCCCAGCATCATGTGGTTTGGTGTGTTGTATTTTTGGAAGAGTTAGGGACTTCTTTTCTGCGTTTATCTTGCATAGGGCAGCCGACTGAAATGAATGGGTTGTCTTACTTTCTAAGCCTGGGAACAAACTGAAAACACACGGTAATGTGCATGGTAATGTGCATGTCGTACCTGTAGGTGAGAACCATGCTTAGTTGTTAAGGACACCCTACACATCTGCAAATGCACCAAACCTCATGGTGCCGCAGTACCATGAGGTTTGCTTCAGCACATTTTTGGAAAAGAGTCAGGGACTTCTTATACATGTTTCTCGCATATAGGGCAGTCCATTGAAATGAATCGGCTTCCTTACACGCCACACATGAAAAATGCACCGGGATGTGTCTGTGCTTGGTCGCACCTGTAAGTGTGAGCCAAGCCTAAAGTATCAGAGGGAGCAGGGGCCCAGAGGTGATTGTGGCTTCCATGTAACACTTTTTTCCTCCATTCCACCATCCCCTGCATGATGGAACTGCTGCGGTATATATTTTAATGAAAACCTGTCACCATGTAAAAATTATTCACTTGACAGAGTTGACAAAAAGCAAGAACCACAAAGTGCCTTTAAGTATCTTTGGTTTCTGATGCAAATCAGAGACTTCCTCTCAATTCCTGTTACCGATGCTGGACAGGAACTGACAGGAAATCATACCAATGGGACATAGTTAGCAAAAATTAAACTGACAGGTGTTTTAACCCTTCCTACTCTATGTAAAAATAAAAAAACAAGTTTGGGCTATACATATACTTTAGGTATACTGCATTAAAAGATTAAATTAAACATTTTTATTCAGGGCTCTTGTGGTAATCAGAATCCCTATTATCAGAAAAAATAGTTGAGGACTGATATCTTGCCAAAACCTCTAATATTTTAATTAAAATATTACATACATAATGCCATTTTGTTTGTAAAATTTGTTGTGAAATTGTTAAAACTCCTGTCAGGCTTCTTTAACTGTAGTCTGGGCCTCCACTGGCAAGATTCACCCTCTCTATTTGTCCTCGTGCCCGATACAAAAATTGGTGAAAATCCAAAACCGTTCCAGTTCTCATTGGCACAGGTGATATGGGAAAATATTCCAATGGGGTCACCTGTACTAGTGGTAACTGCCTAAAAGGGGAATTTCTCCTTGCTTTAGAAAGAATTCCTTCTACTTCCTCTTCTGTCTCTGGGACAGGAAGTAAAAGGGAATCTCCTCGACAGGTGACAGACAGGTTGTCTTAACCATCCACTACTCTATCCAAATCTAAAAAAAAGTTTTGACTTTAGCCATATATAGAGACCATATAAAAAAAGTTAAATTGAAATGAAAATCAAAGCAATCAATACAAAGTTATACTATGTAAAAGAATATAACATACAATTTCTAGTCCTTCTACAGGAAAATGCCTAGTTTTCCAGACCACACTATCCATGCATGAAGCTTTATTAAATAGTCTTCAATCATATCATCTTAATTAAATAAACAATTTATTACAGAAAATCTTACAAAGGAAGTGAAATAGAGATACATTTGTCTGCAATGGATAATATACTTATACTGACGACAAAGAGAAGTTAGACAGACAAACAGAAACCATTGGCAGATAATGTACTTAAAGCACAGGAAGCAATGAAAGGCAATATAAAATCATTTGTTAGATAGGTCTGTTCTGTGTACAGAAGCCACTGGCATCATAAGATGTTATTGCTACATGAAGCAGAATCATTAAAAGAATTCAAGCATTCATATTAATAAACCCCTGACAACAAAATTTTGGAAAAATTTTAGACTGGTTGCTATGGTTTACTGCAGAATCTTGTCCCTCATTGCTCTGTGTTAGTAAATAAAAATATTTGCTCAAGTCACCGTAAACCACTCTAAACCTAACCTAAGACCTAAACTAACCTCTAACACTAAACTAACCCCTGCAGTCAAATATTCCTGTGCCAGGATGTGGGCACTGTATGATCCTGGCACAAGGCTTCCATTGCTGGCAATTATGTGAGTGGTACTCTACTCTGAGGCTGCACTGACACTGCAAACATTCTGGCCTTCCGTGCTGAGACTCTCTTTCACAAGACCACAAAGCCTTGCTTGAGGTTCCAGCGCTGGGAATTCTACACTGCATGACCTTGGCATGAGGCTGCTGCCCAGAGAGGCATAGCAAATAATATTCTGCTCCAATGCCATGCTGACCAAATCATACTGGCCTTCTAAACTGGGATCATATTATCAAAAAGCATGAAGGAACTCATGCCAACATCACAATTGATACCAATATTTAGGAACTACATTTTTGTGGTGGGACTTTTAAGGCACCAATGTATACCAACATTTTTGACTCAGAATATATATTAGATAACAGAACCTTCATTCCTCATACAAGAAGTTGAAGTTGCACACTCTGTTCCATCAAACATCACAATGCTAACAGATCTTGCAAGACATAAGACGTTATTCTTATGGAAAATCCAATGTGTGTTGAAGCTTCTTCAGGGACAGGGTTGCCAGCTGTCCATAAAGTTACGGACAGTCTGTAAATTTTAACCCATTTATGGGCTGTCCGTAAATGTCACTTGCGGACAGTGGCCACCCCAGAGACCAGACCCCAGCCCTCATCATGGCTGGAGCCTGTGGGGACTCCCACCACCACACCACTGTAAGCACTGCCACACGGAGTCCAGGAGACTAAACCCCTGCACAATCCATCCACCCATGGCTGCTATGTGATATCCACACTTGAGGACTGAGGAGGCACAGCAGTTACCAGACAAGAGCAGCAGTGCCCGGTGAGATTTTAAAGAATCACAGATGTGCGCAATCTCTGGCAATTTCCTGTATCCTGTCCACAGCCTCTAACCATCTCCTGTATCATGTCCGCAGCCTCTAACCATCTCTTGTATCCTGTCCGCAGTCTATAACCACTTCTTGTATCATGTTCCCAACCTCTAACCATCTCCTGTATCCTGTCCAAAGCCTCTACCCATCTCCTGTATCATGTCTGCAGCCTCTAACCATTTCCTGTATCCTGTTCGCAGCCTCTAACCATCTCCTGTATCCTGTCCACAGCATCTAATCGTCTCATGTATCATGTTTGCAGCCTCTAACCAATTCCTGTATCCTATCCGCAGCCTCTAACCATCTCCTGTCCACTGTCTCTAATCATCTCCTGTATCCTGTCCGCAGCCTCTAACCATCTCCTGTATCATGTCCGCAACCTCTAACCATCTCCTGTATCATGTCCGCAGCCTCTAACTATCTCTTGTATCCTGTCTGCAGCCTCTAACCATCTCCTGTATCCTGTCTGCAGCCTCTAACCATCTCCCGTATCCTGTCTGCAGCTTCTAAACATCTGTATCCTGTCTGCAGCCTCTAGCAATCTCTTGTATCCTGTCCGCTGTCTCTAATCATCTTCTGTATCCTTTCTGCAGTCTCTAACCATCTCCTGTTTCCTGTCCGCAGTCTTTAACCATCTCCTGTAGCCTGTCCACAGCCTTTAACCATCTCTTGTATCATGTCCACAATCTCTGACCATTTCTTGTCTTTTATCATGTCTGCAGTCTCTGAGGGAGAGCCTGGAGAGGAGTCAAGAGTGGGAGCTCCACCAAGACAGGGGTCACAAGAGGAGTCAGATGTGTGAGGACTGTGGAGAGGAGAATACAGGATGTAACCAGAGCCGCCAAGCTGGAGCTCAGAGAGGACCATCTGACTGAGTCTTGCATGGTGCACCTGAGAGGGGGTCAGTGACCGTGCCGCAAGGCCAGTCTGACTGGAGGTCACTGGTGTAAGGGGGTAATGTAAGGGGGGGCACTGATATAAAAGTTCCCCCTTATATCAGTAACCCCCCTTGCCTTAGTGTATTCACTCTACAAAAGGTGGTCTTGCACTGTAAGGGAGAATCCAGCAGACTGATGTAAGGGGGAACTCTGTGCTGGCTGGGTAATATTAACCTGACCTTCATGTATTTGGAGAAATATGTTTTTTTATTTTTGTTGTAACCTAAACACATTGCTAATAGCACTAGCTATGTATTTGTAGCTTACATATTGATATTTGCACCATTTGGCACCTAAAACGGACATTTTATGCACTTGTTTTAAGTGTCAGTAAAAATGTGGCTCTGTCAGTAAATTTCATGACTTTGGTCAGTAAACAAAATTGGTACTGTTTCTAAATTTTTGGAGTCCTGTCAGTAAATTTCACTTCAGGGGGTTTCACTGTTCAAGGGGTAAAGAGAACATAAAGAGTATCAATTTGTAGATTTAGTCAGCCACACACTAAAGCAACTGTCTGCTCTCTGTGATCTGTTCCCACCCCATCTCCCAAATTTTTGTACAATAAAAATTGAAGGTTTTTTTTTTATCTAACATACAACTTGTGTCAGAAATGTTGGTATACGTTGGGGCCAAAAAAGTCCCATCACAAAAATGTAGTTCTAAATATTGAACTGGGATCTTCTGTGGCAAGATCACACAGCTCTGCACCAAGTTATATGGTATGGGATCCCAGAACCATAAGAGGTTGGTTCACAGTTTTGAATAGTATGGCCCTATAATGCCATTTGCTGGTGCATATACTTCAGTATATACGTGTTGCATAGTAGGCACTGTATAGAAAAAAAGGAGGTTTAGAAATTATTGTCATTATTTATTTTTTACACAACGGAATAGTGGCTGCTTGGAACATACTTCTAGCAGCAGTGGTGAGTCTAACAACAGTAAGTCAATTCAAAGTTGAACTCTGGACTACAGAAAACTAACAGTCACAGTGGGTTCCCCTCTGCAGTGCAAGGGTTAAATTGTTGTTTTGACTAGGGGGTAGGAATAAAGTGAAATACTTACCTCATTCCATGCTCCCATAGGCTTTCTCCTCTTTGGTCTTGCATTGTATCTAAGGATTCTGAAGGCCCACCTTCATCCCAGGAACGTTGGACAGCAAAAGGAGGGCACTGAATGCCAAAGGGACGAGGATTAAAGTAAGTAATTTACATTAATCATCATCTCCTGAACAAAATGAGCATTTAATCTGGACAACCCAGAGTTCAGCTTTAATACGGCTTGGAATAAACGTATCCCTAGGACAAAAATGGTAAAAGTAGAAGGAAGAGTAGACTCCATGGACCATTTGACCTTGTTCTACCATCCATGTTCTATGCTTCTATGCCTTAGATGATAGGTTTCCTTCTGTAGGCAGCAGTAGATACACAGCATCTGGGATGTGATGTGTATAAATGGGAAGCACCAGAGCTTTGGACTTTTTTTCTTATTCTCATACATGAATTCTATAATCTTCACACAACAGTTTAGGCATTATTGCCTATCTATGGTACTTCTGGATGACCCACTCTATGAAGGAGCCAGCTCAACTCTGTACTCATGATGCCAGTGGCTAGGCAAACTCTTCACCCATGTCACAGTGAACTTACCGATTTTTGCTTCTGTTTAGCTACAAGCAGCATGAAAGAGAAACAAAGAACAACAAAGGCATGCATGTTATTGACAAGTCGAAAGACAGACATTTAACAGGACTTGCAATGTGTAACAAGGAGCAGCAGAGCAGATGGCGAGCGTCACACCGGAGCTGGTTACCTTCTTAAAAAAAGGCATTCTTTTCTCTTTGGAGAGGGGTGATGTTACACTGTTTACACTGGGTTTAGGGGAGCGGTGGTTGGCTGGGATATCAAGCTCTTCTGCCTCTAAGCCAGTGGCATCTAAGTCTATAGCTATATACAGACAAATCCATGTACAGTTATCAGGTGGGGAAACAGAGGGCATTGGATGACAGTTATACAATTTTACCTGAAAAGGAAAGGTCAGAAACAAGTTAACTTAAAGGCGTTTTCCAGTTTCCAAAAGCATGGAGGCTTGCATAGCTAATGCAGTAGCATACGGACTTGTATGTTTTTGTCCCTGTGTAGATTAAAGCTGTATTAAACCCACAAAAAATGTAATATAATGCAGCTTACTAATCGCGAGATGTGGTGCGTGCATTCATTTTCTTTTTTAAGCTTTCTTTTTCTCACCTGGTGAACTGGCCAGTAACAAATGTCCCTGTATTAGAGTGCCTCCACTCTAATACAGAGGGCACCTTTGAACAGTAACATTGTCAGTCTTGGGGAGGGGAGTGTTAAATGTACTCGCAGATTTAGATACATTAACAAATTGAAGCCAAACTCCAACTAACACATTATAAGTAGTTACAGCAACAGTTTTTTATATTGGGATAAAGTTTTTTGCATCAATAAATAAAAGCTGGTCATTGTAAGCACCCCTGTCACTGTTAAATGGTTTGTATCATCCCTATAATTGCTACCTTTGCATAACAGCTTGTTCTTTTGAAAAACAACAGACTTACTCAGCAGATCACTAGGTAAAAATAAAGAAAAGAAAGTCTAAAAAAGTAAACTAATGTAGCTATCACATCTAAGAATTGGTAAGCTGCAATATAATAAATGTTTTCTTTTGGGTTTAATACTAATTTAAAAATGGCAGCCATGCATAGAGCTATCAAAGCAAACAATACAGCTGACTGAATATGAATATCCTGCAAACAATAGGAGGTGTAAGACTTAAAGCGCACCTTTTATTTGCCCATGCAGGGCCAAACAGGTACTTTTTCCTGCCCAGCAGTGCACACTCACCTTTCCTTCACTACCTCTTTGGTCCATTCAGCCATAGGGATTGAGTAAATTAGGCCCTGTGTAAGCTTAGAGTCACTCCATTCAGGGTTTATACTGTACAGGGCTGATGACTACCCCATCCCCATATGACAGTGCTGGGCAATCATGAAGCACCAATTCTAACACATGGCGTGAACCACATGCTCCTCCACACCTAGAAATACCAGGTATATTCTTCACTGGCAGGGGTAGAAATAATGGTAAGTGTGTACCGATTGCTGGGGAAGGGCCATTAAAGCCAACTTGTTGTTTTGCCCTGTATCGACATAAATTAAAATAAAACAGGTGCCCCTGCTGACATGTTGAAGGTGCAGGCTTCAGGTCTGTCATCTTGATTCTTACTTTAATTTTTATTGACTCACTGTCCTGGAACAAGAATATGTACGTTGTATATCAAATGTCAGACACCTAAACACACATGCATGCTCCAGGTCAGTGACCCACTAAGAAGCAAGGATCAGAATAACAGCCCAACAGCATGCTCTCAGAGCACCGGCAGCTCCCATTTTCCTGTTATAACTAATTCCCTTAAAATATAGGAGGTGCTGAAAGAATTCTAAAATGTTTACCCATCTTGGAGGACATTTATGGAGCCTAGGCACATTACCAAATGCCAAGCCATTTGGTCTTTTGACCGTCTGTTGAGGGATCTCACAGCAGTGGGAGGGGCTGTGATGTCACTTTAGATGAACTTTAAAGTGATTTTGTTGCTAAAATGAGATCCTTGCTAAAGGTCCTCCCAGTAAAGAGCAAGTAAATATTAACTTTTCCCGCTGCCTGCACTGAAAATCACCACTTTAAACTGATCTCCTGAAGTTTAGAAATTGACACTTCTCGAAGTGTTATCTCCAGCTTCCCTCAGTGGCTCATCCCACCAACCTCTGTATCACTACAGGATACAAAAAAAATTACTTTTACTGTCTATACTTTCTACAATCACTGTCTCCTTTCACCAAAATTTGTGATTTCAACATAATTTGTGATTCTTGACTTTCTAAAGTATAGGCTGCCCCTCCTCCCAAACAGCTAATGGCTGTATAACAGTATGATTCCCAGTGGAGTAGCAGGGAGCAGGAAAAGTCCGATGCTGCTTTTTATATAAGGAATCATTCTCTAAAATCTGACATGGTAGTTGTTCCATGGACATTCAAAGTACTCTGTGGAAAGACCCAAGGTGAAAAAAAAAAGAAAACAAATGGATGTCTTTATTTTACACAGCTCAGGTTTTTGCAATGCAGTCTGTATAGAACAAATAAAATATTTTTTATAGATTTCAGTTTTTCTGGGTAGACAATATTGGTCAAATCTGGAAGGCCCCTTTAAGTAACATTGAAGAGCTGATTTATGCAAATTGGAGCAAAAGATGAGCTTTCGGCTAAGGAAATCAATTTTAATTGGCCAACTCTCTCTCCAGGTTTATTTCCAATTTCCATATATCACACAGTACCATAAAAAATAGTAAAACTATAACAACTATAAATAAAATAGTACACATCAGTTTGTGGCCATGAAAATAGACTTGCATTGTTCATAATGACATTATACCAAAGAAAGACACATATCTGGATTCCAAGATCAATTAAGGTATATGTGGGACAAAGTCTGCTATACATGGGAAAACAGCAGGATCTATACTCTGGAGTGCTTCGGACTTGTCATGTCCTGCAATTTCACTGTCATTTGGACTCTTAAACCTAAAATACTGTATATTTTGCTTTGGCTGTCTAAGGGTATCAACCTGTAGAGCATTATACAGAGGAGAAGGGTTAGAACTTCTGAGGACATTTTGTTGCTGTCAGTGTTTTCCTACCCTAGTGACAACTGATAATAGAGACCATAAGTGAGAGAAAATCAACCCAATGTATTCACAGACAGGAATATAAACCTGATAGATATTTTAACTCCTCTGATATCTATCCAATAACTAAAGTTTTTAAAAAAAAAAATATTTGGCTAGATTTATGTTTCAAATTATTTTGCACCAGACTACACCATTTCAAAATCAGAAAATAGGAGCAGATCACTAGACATGCCCTATGGAAGGAGACTGCTAACAGAATTTCATGGAGTAAGTTTTCCAGAGCAACCTTACAAGAAGAGATAACCAGAAGAAAATTGTCAGGAAACTGCCAGGGGAATCTTATACAAGGACACTGCTAAGGGACCCTTTTGAGAGGTGATTGCTAAAGGATCATTATGTGATTACCAGAGGTGAATGGTAAAGGAGGCTGACATAGGAATGAGAAGATTGTTGTAGCAACCTTGTAGGAGGGGATAGCTACTGGAGCAGCAAACATTATGATAATGTTTGCTGACTACTGGGAGTTGACTACTGCAACTCCCTCCTCACTGGCCTACCCAAGTGCAGGCTCTCCCCGCTCCAGACCATCCTGAAAGCTGCCAGACTCATCCACCTCACCACCCGCTCCACCTCTGCCACCCCCCTCTGCCTCTCCCTCCACTGGCTCCCGATTGCCCAATGCATCAAATTTAAACTCCTAACCCTGACCTACAAAGCCGTTCACAACACTGCCCCTGACTACCTCACCAACCTGATCACCAAGTACCACCCTACCCGTACCCTTCGCTCCTCACAGGACCTCCTTCTATCCTGCTCCCTGGTCTCCTCCTCCCATGCACGACTGCAGGACTTCTCCAGGTCCTCCCCCATCCTCTGGAACTCACTGCCCCAATCCATCAGACTGTCGCCTTCCCTATTCACATTCAGGGCTCCCTCAAAACCCATCTCTTCAGGGAAGCCTACCCCACCCCTCACCTAACGGCCATCCTCCCTCATTCCTCCCACCACTTCAGCCACTTCCTACTGTACCTTTACCCCCTCCCTCCTAGATTGTAAGCTCGTAAGAGTAGGGCCCTCTTACCCCTCGTACGTTGTTTGTTGTTGTTGTACTGTGCCATGTATTGTCCCCCCTATTGTACAGCGCTGAGCAAACCCTTTGGCGCTATATAAACTCGTTAATAATAATAATAATAATGATAATGGCAATCATATTGGAGGAGACTGACCACAGAGGTGAGCACACTGGATCTTGAAAATTAGTATTTCTTACCAGATGATGGTGGAGTTGATCTTCTAGAGCTAGGTACAACATCACCCAAACTGGAAGAGGAATTTCCTCCGGTTTTACTGGTGAGAAAGAGATGATTAAACCGTTTACTACTGTTGTAAAAAAGATAGTGAATGTACACAATCGATGAAGATTCTTACAGCACTGGATAAGAGCAGTGAACATGCAAAATTTTAACAATAGTAAGCTATCTTCACTTTCCACCCAAAACCCCATTTTGATGAAGGCAATCCTAAAATGTGGCTTGTTGGTTCTAATTGTTTATTTTATTAAAAGCCTAAAGTGTATTTCTAGGAAAAACCTTTTCTTATTTTGAATAGCGCCAGGAAAGGTAACATATTCTATCAAATTGTTATTGCTCTCTTGATCCCCATTGGGGAATTCCCCAATCTGTTTGTCCTGATGACTACTGTCACCAAAACAGCAAGTGGGAGGAAATTCACAATTTTCAAGTTGTCCCTGAATAAAAGGTAACGGGAAACCTTCCAATGCCACGGATGTCATTCAACCCAGAAGCGCACCGCCACTGGATTGCAAAGTAGTGAGTCTGTTGGGACCAGGGCTGGAGAAGTGGTGAATATTGCATTCACAGCTGCTTTTTTTTCACCTTCTACAAGACAATTTATTTTTATATTTTTACTAAAACCTGGAGTTGATTTTTTTTTAAAGTATGGCCTACGGTTATTTTGTTGCAGTGGTCAATCAATCTATAAAAATACTTAACAATTTTAATTGTTATTGCATTTAGTATGTGACACTTTTCTATACTTTGTGTCTATGTCACACTCTCCACTACAGCCTGATGATGTCAGCATAGAGTAAGAATTGGTAGATTCCATTGCATCACTAGATCCCACAGCATCATTAGTTTCCATTAGATCCTATTTCATCATTGGAAGTGCCCATTTATCTGTACTACCTGTACTCTCCACAAAGGCAAGAATTAGAATGTCTGGACACCACAAAAACATTGTTGTAGTTTTGTTGTAAAATATTATGGGGTTATATAACATGGATGCTTTAGAAATCATTTTCTTTAAATGAAAAGCAGGCACATCTTTGCATAAAGCGATTGCTTTGCTATTACATGAATGAAGCTGTTTGGCATCTAAACGTTACAGACTTGCCAAATTCCGGAATACCAAAGCATCCAAAAATAATCCCATCTTAATAGAGGTCTCTGAACTTCTCTTGAAAATTCATGTAAGTTCTGTATGGGAAAAACAGACTGCTGTAACAATATGATAATTACAATATCCACAAAAACTTCCAATAATTATGTTTTCTCATCCTATCCACGACATTTTTTTTTGTTGGAAAATAGTTTTTTTATTGAGATTTTCCAGATAAATTAAACAATAAATTGAGAAAAACAGATACGTGTCACACCTCAATTTGTTATGAATTAGAGCTTTTCAGTCAAGGTATGAGTATGCATGACCAAAATACTGTATAGTTACATGTGATTAACAGACAGAGCAGTAGGTAACATCTAATAATCCTGAACAATATCTAGGCGATATACATTTTCTCAACATGCCCTGATCTGGAGGCCGGCAATTATATTTTAAGACCCAATTTAACCTCCCTTCTAATTTGTTAGCATACAGCAGGATAACAAACTCAACAATTTAATCGTAATCATAACCAAAGTCCTAGCGCTAACTTTCACACAAATCCAGAATAGATATATTTGACAAAACCTAAAACATACTGTAGATCCACTAAGAGTGTCCTTGTGCCCCAATAATATCCGGAAAAGGGACCTTCAGATTTTTTTAATGAAGTATATATGTGAGCAGAGAGCTTGCATTTTGTAGAGGTATTTGGACGAAATGTCCCCAAGAAATCTCCCCAAAGTGTGAGGAAATCCAAGTCTGACAGCTGTCACTGGAGGCATTATGAGGAATAAACACCTACTGATCCAGCCAGAAATCTATTGAGCCTCTCACTTCCTGTAATGAACTGACAACCCTTCCTTTGCTATACAGAAATTTCATGCAGTGTTGTCAGCCCTGTGTGAGTTCAGGCATGGATGTATCATGGGATAAAAGTATGCATGGCATATTCTATTGGCACATATATATATATATACACATGCTTTTATGGATTTTTTTACACGTCTTTATGGATTATAAGGATCTTTGTATACTTATTTGTTGTTTTTGTTCACTTGAGTCTATCTGAGAAGGGCGGCACATATGAGCTTTGTCCCCGCCTCTGGGCGAGGGGGTGATGGCCCACTTGTAACACTTGGACTTAATATCAAACCATTTATAAAGAGGGTACAGCTACTGTGTATACTGGCTCTGAGGAAGAGGCAAGTCCTCGAAACGTTTCCTATGTGGAAAGCCATACCATGCAGACTGGACAGTGCTGTTCTTTATGATGAGCTTTTATACATTTGTCCTTTGTGAGTATATCACCTATTATTTTTATCAATAAATGTTATTTAAGGTAATGCACTAGACCGGTGCGCCCTCTATTTGTTTTCTTTGTATCCAGTGTTTGGACTCCCCCCGTCCTTTGAGGGCAGCAAGGCGTGCACCATACAGGATCTGCAGAATGGATCCATAACTGTATCAAGTTCACCCCCGAATGCAGGAGTATTTGTGTTAATTATTTATCCCCAGATGAACTACAAAACATCTCTCCATTGTGTTGTGGAAATGAGGAGAAGAGAAGGAATGTGTTCTGTAGTCCAGAGAGGAGAACTTAGACAGGACTGGCAATCCTACAAGGGAGGCTAGTACAGCAAAGGCAGCATAGTTAGCTCAGAGAAAGTGAGAAGCCCACTGGATTTCTGGAAGAATTTTTTTGTCCATGTATGCACTTTAAGCTGTCCACATGCTTTGGATCTCTGAGTCCTGGGATTGAATACCAGTTTGGACACTATTTGCATAGAGATTACATTTTCTCCCATGTGCATGAGGTTCCTCCCACAGTTCAAGGACACACACTGGTAAGCTAATTGGCTTCCTCCTGCACTGGCCTCCTGAGTGTAGTAGGGGCATTGTGAGTTAATTTGGGGGATGGGGCAGATGTATGTACCTTCTCTGTAAATTGTTGTGTAATACTGTATGTTGGTGCTATATACTGTAAATACTGAATAGATAAATAGTATGGAATGATGCTCATCAGACTTATTGCTGATTCCTCAGTCATACAGGGTTTGAATGATTACTAAATAAAAAAAGCTTAAACAACCAAATAAAATGGCTGCAAAAAACACAATTAAGTGTCTTCACATAATGTTAAAAGGATGATTCTGACTAAAATGAAATGTGTTGCAACTACTGCCAAAAATATGACACTCCATAGACAAAGCATTTTTAAAGCTACCCGGTGTCAGTTTGCTGTTAGCATCACTTTATTAAAAGAGAAACTATAATGGTTTTAGGCCAAATTTATTTTATTTCATGATTTAAAATGTATTATTTATATCTGTATATAATCTTTTTTTAACAAATAATCATTAAACACATAGAACTATGGGTTATATTAAAAGACAGTAAAGTAGCTGCCTTTTGGATGGTTTTGTTTAACTGGAACCTCAGACACCCAGTAGAGTGATGAGTGACTCCTGTGATGCACCTGTGTGTGTAAATTTCAGACTGAGCTATTGAGTTCTGTAAAAAAACAGACTTTTTACAAAAAAAGTTGGCAGCCCATGAGAAACTGAAACCGTGAAAAGAATCCAAAAGTCCGTTTGGTTGCTTTTTAAAAAAAATGCTATTATTTCCTACTTTTTTATTTACTACCATTATTCACTATCTTTTATTTACTACTAAATATTTGGAATATTTCACATTTACCTGACTAAACAGAAAATATCATTAAAAACAACATCTATAGAAAACCACCATATATTCCCTATAAAAAAATTATAATAACGTTTTAGGATGAGCAATTGACCAGCTTGAAACAGCACCTACACCGTCGGACCAAATGTTTGTGGACACCTGAACATCACAACTATATGAGTTTGTTTGACAGCTCAACCCAAATCCATGAGAATTATAATGTAGTTGACCCTCCTTTGCGACTATAACAGCTTCTACTCTTGTAGGGGGGCTTTCCGTACAGCCATCCCTATGACTAAGTCAGAAGTGACGAAACGCATCAGAGCGAGGCTGTGTGGCGACCGGAAGTGACATTCTGAACCGGAAGTGACACGTGAGCGCCATAATTTGGGATCCGGCGGTGGTGAGAGCATAGCTTATGTATCCCACTACATTTGACAGTACAGGCGATTTTTATCCATTTATCTTGTGTGTGGCTGTCTATACATTTGGTTATTGGTTACTGCACCACTGGAGTTTTATCTCTTATTTTTGCATGACCATTATCTAGTAGAGAGGAGTAAAGGAGATTTGAGGAATGTCTGTATGGAGTTACCCCTTTTTGGAGACACACAAGCGATACATGCCAACCATGAGAATGGAAAGCATGTAAATTTGGTGAGTGCATACCCAGAATTGGAGGAGTTTGTTAAAGGCACGTGGTGTTTTTTAGTTTGGGAACACATTGAAAGAGATATTCACATGTCACAATGGACTATACTTTTCTGCACTAAGTGATTGATGCATGTCACATGAACGTTTTGATGTTTTATATAATTTTTTGATCACAGCACCACTGGACTATTGATGTTCATTTATTTGTGCAAAATATTTCACATTTACCTGACTAAACAAAAAATATAATTAAATCATTAAAACATCTATAGAAAGCCACCATATATTCCCTATAAAAAATTATAATAACATTTTAGGATGAGCAATTGACCGACTTGAAATATCATCTACACTGTCAAACGTTTGTGGACACCGGAACATCACATCTACATGAGCTTGTTTGACAGCTCAACCCAAATCCATGAAAATTAAAATGCAGTTGACCCTCCATTGCGGCTATAACAGCCTCTACTCTTGTAGGGGGGCTTTCCACAAGATTTTCGCCTGCGGGAACTTGTGCTCATTCAGACAAAAAAAAAAAATTGTAAGGTCAGGCTAAAATTGAAGATCTGGCTCACACTCAGCTTTCCAAGTCATTCCTAGGGTGTTCAGTATAGTTGATGTCAGGGCTCTGTGAAGGACACTTGAGTTTCCCCACCACAAACTCATCAAACCATGTCTTTATGGAGCTTAAATTGTAGACAGGGGCACAGTCTGTCATGATGGGACAAAAAGGACCTTCCCCAAACTGTCACTACATTGTTGGAAGCACACATTTGTCTAAAATGTCTTTGTATGCTGTAGTACTAAAAGTACCCTTCACTGGAAAACTCAATAATTCAGAGGGCTGTCCACATACATTTGCCCCTGAAGTGAATTTACTGCTAACCAAGGGTCCCTTTTTTTGAAGCTCACGCATTTCTAGAAGCTCGTTCATTTAAGAGAGTCAATGCTTTGTGTGCACAGGATCGGCGTACTACAAAGTCCCTTTACCTTGTATAGAATTTTCCCTGCTTTGCTTTTTGTTCATGCTGTAGCCTCATGTTCTCAAGCTTCACAGGACTTGGAATAAATCCTATTTCACAGCCTTCTTTCACCAGCCGGCCTATCCACCAGTCATTGTTAAATTTCTACAAAGAGAAGAAAAATACAATAAAGATTTGCCCCTAAGCTAATCCATAAGAGAACTATAAGAGAACTCACACCAGCATGTATATATAATTCAGAAGAGGGGAAATGCTTCCCATTTCCAGTTCTCGGATGTCTTATTAAAAGTCTCAGTCATGCTTTTGCAGTTCTCGCCGCTATGACGCATCTCCAAACCACATGAAATTCAGAGGTTGCAGAAAAAGAATTTCTTTACAGTGGATATAATTTATATCATTGCTTTGAAGCATAGGAAGCTTTATTTTTTTTATAGCACAATTGCGCAGTTTCCATCAATAGTATACATTGTACATTGATTGTCACAAGTGCAGAGGAAAAAAGTAAATAAATGTGCATCAGTTTGCTTTAGGCCCTTTTGAGACTGGTATGCATTTGCCGCACTTTTCCAGGGCAAAAAGTGCATGAAAATTATTCCCAATTAAAACCTATGGAACGTTTCACAATGCAGGTGCACTGCGCTTTGAAAAGTCCTGCATGCTGCATCATTAGTGCAGTTTCTCAAAAGCATTGCAAAAAGGCACCTTCCATTGTAAGTCTATGGGAATGTGTCAAAAGCGCATCAGTGTGAAAGAGACTTTAACCAGTTGCTGATCAACCCATGCAGACATACTGCAGGTCAGCAGCTCTTCTGAGTCAGATTATGTACATGCACTGGCATGTCCAGGTAGGGGATCAGCAATTTGCAGTTTTTTTTCCCCCCTAAAACAGGCAGATGGCTTAGTAAAAGCAGCACATACTACACACAGTACACAATTTTAGGCACACATTGCCCCTAGATGTTAACTCCATCCCAGCCAGTGTCATTATTACAGTGACAGTGTATAGTATTAGCACTGATCACTGTATTAGCGTCACTGGTGATGTCAATGTCAGGTAGTCAGTCAGATTGCCCACCGCACTATCACAGTCCCACTAAAAATCACTGATCACAGCCATTACTAGTATAAAAAAAAAATATGAATTAAAAAAATGATTACATTTTACATTACAGCAGAATATATGTTGGTCTAAATGTATAAAGATATTTGATTTTTACATTTTTTATTGGATTTTTTTCAATAATAGAAATGAAAAATGATTGTTTTTTTCCAAAATTTTCAATCTTTTTTCATTTATATAATAAAAAATAAAAAAAAAAAACCCAGTGGTGAACAAATACCACTAAAAAAAAGCTCTATTTGTGGGAAAAAAAAATGTATAAATTTAATTTGGGTATAGCACTGCATGACCACACGCATTTGTCACTTTAAGTAGTGCAGTGCCGAATAACAAAAAATGGCCTGGTCAGGAAGGGGGTAAAATCTTAAGTGGTTAAAGTCACAAATTAATACAAAATATGGCCTCACTTACATTTGGTAGTAACACCCTTTTACACCCCCCACCCCCCAAAGCCAAAAATAACATGGGTAGTGGCCTTGCAAGTGCACAAAAATTTATACCACAGTTCATATTTGGCAGGCAGCACTGCTGTCAAATGTGACCTGTTCAAGTGAATAGGGCTGTGCTGCAACCATGCGTGATGCATGCTTTGTTGTGCAGTACCATTGGCTTTCAAAAATTAACATAGGCGGTGATGAGGCAACAAGTCACCTCTGACCTGCCTGTCAAATGTCTCTTCGCTGTCTCTTCACCACAGATCGCTTTTCATAGGGGCAGCAATGATGTCTGCCTATGTAAACAAGCCCTATGACCGTACTTCTTCCCTCACCTCTTTGACGTGCAAAAAATCTTTAGCCTCAAAGGAAACGGCCATTCCTGGAACCGGGACCTCATCGTCGTGAGCTGAACTGTAGCCAACATTTGTCCGTACTGCGAATGCAACAGGTTTAGTCTGTAGAAAGGTACAAAGAAAACATATTTAATCAGAGACATTTAGAACAATGACATCTTTCTAATGTCTAAATAGTTTGAGCATTAAAGTGCAGTTTCGTCTTTGCAGGTAAGTTAAAATGCATGTACAGTATAGTCTATTTATTTATTTTCTCATTTTAAATAGCATGGGGATGGGTTAGAACTCCCTGGCAGGTTTTTACTGCAGTCGATATCACCTTCTCCAACTGTCCTGGGGACCATTCACCAGTTTTTGGGGAAAAAAAAAATGATGGGAAAACTGAATTTTACAGTTGCCTCCAAAGCAAGAGGTTAGGGAAAATTGTGACAACAGTCTAAGAGGGCATTTTCCCTTATCATGGTGCACACTATTCTAAATGCAGAAAAAGTGACTTAGGAAGTATTAGGCCACATTTACAAGGGTGTACCTGTCCACACACCCATTTGAAGGGCTGTTTTTTCATGCATGGGATGCTTATACAGTTGCAAGAAAAAGTATGTGAACCCCTTGGGATTACGTGGAGTTTTGCATGAATTGGGCATAAAATGTGCTCTGAACGTCATCTAAGTCACAACAATAGAAGAACACAGTCTGCTGAACATAATAGTACACAAACATTAAATGTTGCCATGGTTTAATTGCACATAACATGTAAACATTCACAGTGCAGGGAGGAAAAAGTATGTGAGGCCCTAGCTTAATGACTTCTCCCAGAGCTAATTGGAGCCAGGAGTGAGCCAACCTTGACTCCAATCAGTGTGATGATATTGGATGTGTTGCTGACAGCTGTCCTGCCCTTAAAAAACACACACCTGTTTTGGGTTTACTGGTTTCAAGAAGCACTGTCTGATGTGAACCATGCCTCACAGAAAAGAGCTCTCAGAAGACCTACGATCAAGAATTGTTGACTTGCATGAAGCTGGAAAGGGTTACAAAAGTATCTCCAAAAGCCTTGATGTTCATGTGTCCACGGTAAGACAGACTGTCTACAAATGGAGAAAGTTTAGCACTGTTGCTACTCTCCCTAGGCGTGGTCGTCCTGTAAAAATGACTGCAAGAGCACAGCGCAGAATTCTGCATGAGGTAAAGAAGAATCCCAGAGTGTCAGCTAAAGACCTACAGAAATCTCTGGCACATGCTAACATTTTGTTGACACATCTACAATAAGGAAAACATTAAACAAGAATGGAGTACATGGGAGGACACCACGGAGGAAGCCATTGATGTCCAAAAAGAATATTGCAGCACGTTTGAAGTTTGCAAAAGAGCATCTGGATGTTCCACAGCACTACAGGCAAAATATACTGTGGACAGATGAAACCAAGATTGAGTTGTTTGGGAAGAACACACAACACTATGTGTGGAAAAAAAAAGGCACAGCACACCCAACATCAAAACCTGATCCCCACTGTGAAAACATGGCGGAGGGAGCATCATGGTTTGGGGCTGCTTTGCTGCCTCAGGGCCTGGACGGATTGTTGTCATTGATGGGAAAATGAATTCCAGAGTTTATCAAGACATTTTGCAGGAAAACATATGACCATCTGTCCGCCAACTGAAGCTCTGCAGAGGATGGGTGATGCAACAGGACAATGACCCAAAGCATACAAGTAATTCAACAAAACAATGGCTGCAACAGCACAGAATACGCCTTCTGGAGTGACCCAGTCAGAGTCCTGACCTCAACCCGATTGAAAAGCTGTGGCATGACCTTAAGAGAGCGATTCACACCAGACATCCCAAGAGTATTGCTACACTGAAACAGTTTTGTGAAGAGGAGTGGTCCAAAATTACTCCAGATCGTTGTGCAGGTCTGATCTGCAACTACAGGAAACATTTGGTTGAGGTTATTGCTGCCAAAGGAGGGTCAACCAGTTATTAAGTCCAAAGGTTCACATACTTTTTCCTCCCTGCACTGTGAATGTTTACATGTTATGTGCAATTAAACCATGGCAACATCTAATGTTTGTGTATTATTATGTTCAGCAGACTGTGTTCTTCTATTGTGATTTAGATGACGTTCAGAGCACATTTTATGCCCAATTCATGCAAAACTCCACATAATCCCAAGGGGTTCACATACTTTTTCTTGCAACTGTATGTTATGTGCAGCCAAATGAAGGGTGTCCCATTCACTATTGGGGTGCAGCAGCTGCTTGGACACAGTTGTTATTCCCGATCTGACAGCCACTCAGATGAATGTCCCCGAAGGTAGACAGTGTGCATTCAGGGGGACACACACCCGCACGGTTGTCGAATTGGGACCAGTGATTGGTATGTGCAGCCGCTGAGTCCCAATAGACAAGGATGGGGCAGTTTGCATGTGAATAATTTGAATGCCTGTGCATCTCCTATGGGCAAAGATGGCCCTTTCTACAGGTGTATGGATAGGTGATGCCCAGGGGCGGACTGAAAACTCATGGGGCCGCCGGAGAATAGGGAATCATGGGGCCCCTGTGTCCTTGCCCACACTCAAACCACAGCCAAAAAAGCTTAGGATAAGTACCAGGGGCATGTCATGGGGCCCCCTACTGACCCCAGGCCCTCAGGCAGTGCCTGAGTGTCCAAATGGTTAGTCCGCCCCTGGTGATGCCTATAAGTTGTTTATACTTCCCAGATCACTTCTCCTGCATTTAGATAAACTAAATTCAGGAGTGCCAGTATGAATTATGATTTATTTATTTTTTTATTACAGGTACTTACAGTATATAGCGCCATCAACTCACATTGATACTGTACAAACTAGGGCCACTTTAGACAGAAGCCAATTAACCTACCAGCCTGTATTTGTAGTGTGGGAGGAAACCAGAGTACCTGGAGGAAACCTACACAAGCACAGGGAGAACATGCATACTCCATGCAGGTAGTGTCGTGGTTGGAATTCAATCCAACGACCCTAGAGCTGCTAGGCAAAAGTGCTACCCCCTTAGCCACTGTGGTTTCTGGCTAAATGTGGGTGACAGTGTCCTGGGGGTTGGGACAAACATATTGCTATGTATGAATAAAAAATGGTGAAGCACTAAATAAAATATAAATGAATCTAAGTATAATCAATAATACTGTACATAAAATATTAAACGTGTTGTAATTACACACACAGTGCTCTGATCCAATCGGATCCAATCAAGTGCAACACTAGTGAAACACACAGGATTGCCTGTTTCAACACTCAGTGAATCCCTTTATTGAAAAAATCCAACCTCCCCCTGTCCCTGTATGTGGGACCAGGGGTGGAGTGACAACTCATGGGGCTCCTGGGCAATAGGGGATCATGGGGCCATGTGTCCTTGCCCAAACTCAAAAAAGCCTATGAAAAAGGTACCAGGGGCATCTCCTGGGGCCCCCTACTGACCGCGGGCCCTGGGGCAGTGCCTGAGTTTCCAAATGGTCAGTCCGCCCCTGCCAGTGAATGATGCAACTTGAAACCTTACCCATACAAATAGCAAATTCCAAATCTGAAATCCTAGTTTGGATTGAAATGACCTTTTCATGGATTTTCTCCTCTATTTTTTTTCCCAGAAAAGCACTGAACTAAATTTGGAAGATGATTGTTTCTATTTTAATAACTTGTTGCCAAAAAGTTTAATGAAATTGGAGAAATAAAATTCTCTGTTGCAGACTGAAGAGTTCCATCTTTGTGAGAAAGTGTTTATTGAGAAAATTTTCCATGTTGCATAAAAAAAAAAGAAAAAAAGTGGTTTCTATAAATGGGAGCTCCCAGGATATGAGGAGTGGATGACAAACGTTTACTATTGTTGATTCAGTAACACAGCTCCAGTTATGCAGTATTATTTAACCACTTAAGTACCAGTCTAATTTCCGGCTCAGTTCACCAGTCAAAACCAGGTACCTGCTCCCCCCCAAAAGGTGCCAAATGTGGCAGCGGAGTGAGAGGCAGAAAAGCGGAGCTTCCGCTTTTGGGGGTGGAACGTTAAGTCAGTAACGTCTGGGTTTCATCTGTACCCCCATCTCTTGAAGTCCCTGCACAGCAGAGCTCAGAGATAGGTAGGGAAGAGCAACACAAGAAGCCAATCAGGTATGTTGCAGTGCAAAAAGCATGCTGACAGGAGGAGAGAGCAGAGTGACATTGAGATGAGCCCATCAGTCAGCTGCTTCTTCTTTTTTCGCTGTCCAGACACATGATGGGGGTGGGAAGGAGACCTACAGTATAGAGGAAATAAAACTGCAGAAGTGAAAGATCAGGTCCCTCCCCTGCCAGACAGAACATTGCTTCGTGATAGTGCTGTGTAAATCTCAGGACTGGATGGACAGAAACACAAATTCTTTAAGCAGCTCACATATATGTATTCAACTGTGCACCTGGAGTTCAGCTCTAACCCAGTGATTTAAAAAAAATAGTAAATAGCAAAGTAGTTGTGCGCAGGACTGCTCATAGGCATTACAGGACAAGAAGAGGAAGGACCTGTTGTCATGTGACCGGTCACAAGACAGATGAATTTAATGTATGCATACAGGAAATGTATTCTTAAAAATGGTACATTCCGATGGGCACAGGGGGTGGGTGTTTCAAAAAAATCTGGAGATGGGCTTTAAAGCGGAATTCCACTCTCCGCTTTTCTGCCCCCCCACTCATGCCACATTTGGCAGCTTTTGGGGTGGGGGGGAGGGGGGGGTAGCGGGTACCTTGTTTGGAAGTTAGCAGTATAGCCCCCACTCCCTGCAGCACCCTGGGACACTTTACAGGTCCCAGAGGACTGCGGCCTATTCATAGCGAACTTCACGCATGCGCAGTAGGAAACCAGCTGTGAGGATGCAAGGCTTCACTGTCAGTTTCTCTTAGTCAAGATGGCGGTGCCAGCACCCAACTGAAGAATCAACTTGGGGTGAGGACATTTATTTATTTTAGATACTTATTTAGCGCCATCAATTTCCGCAGCGCTTTCCATATATCGTACATTCACATCAGCCCCTAACCCTAAAGGGGTGTACAATCTAAGGTCCCTAACTCACATTCATACATACTAGGGCCAATTGACCTACC